ATCCTACCATGTGCAATGACATGGAATGGATTTAGAGTTATTATGCTGAGTGAAATAAGTCAGACAGAGAAAGATAAATACCCTATGATTTCACTTATATGCGAAATATAAGGAACAAAAAGAACAAACTAATCAAAAACAGACTCATAAATATAGTGGACTATTTGGTGATGGACAGAGGGGAGGGAGTTGAGGGGCTGGGATAATGGGGTGAAAGGTTAAAGAAGTACAAATTAGTAGTTGATAGTTGGGCACAAGGATGGGGAGCACAGCAGAGGGAATGCAGTTAGCATTAATATGACGGCTAGGTGGAGGGCCAGGGGAGGGAGGGAGTAATTGGGGGAATCGTCGTTTTATGTATATAGATGTCTATCCAATATACTGTATACTTGAAACTATTTTAAATAAATGATTTAAATTACAAAAATAACAACATAATGTTAAGATACTTAAAAAATTAATTAATTTCTTTTAAGACTTCTTTAGAAAGGAGGTTTTATGTAAAATGTAGGTGGAGGGATTTCATATCTAAACTGTGATTTTGAATTGTATCTTAATAAGTCTAAACTCTTCACTTTTCTGATGATTCAAAAGATTTTACTTAGTAATAATTTTCTAAGCAGCATAGTTTATTTCTTCAACTAAAATCCTGCTCACCCAGGTGGCATTTTTGTGCAAATTGGAAAAAGGTCCCCTTTTCTTCCATTTGTCAGAAATTTATCCTAACATACTGATTTTGCTAGAAAAGGAAACTTGACTGCTACTGACTAGACATTTTTCTTAACAAATATATAAGTCTATGATGTCTTATGGGAAGGTGCCCGCTTGTGTGCTTTGTACTCCTGTGCAGCTGTACGCCCAGCCTTGTCCACATAATCGATACATGTATGGACACAGAAGAAAGACAATCTTTTCAAATATATATTTGTATTAGAGAAACCACTTATTTTGGGCTAATATATTTTACTTGATATCAATTTAGTAGCTATGAAAGTGTTATGTACTCTATTTTGGAAGTAATGTCATTTTGTTTACTGATATAAATGTTATTAAGAACTAGTTCAAGTATTCAATTTAGTTGAATTGATAGTCACTACACTCAGCTAATTCTCAGTTACCTCTGTTGTGACATATTTTTAGTTTTAGAGATGAAGTACAAGAAAAGTAGTTTACTTTAGATATCGGGTGATGGGAATTTACCCAGAATTGCAAAATCCAGGACTTTGCCTAGTCTAATAATGAGTTAGATTATCACTTAATGTAATAATGTTTGTTTGTTGCTTAAAAGGGCATTTTAAACTGCTGAACTCCATATTATGATTTAAGTGGCCTTGAAATAAAAATTCAAATAAGAGAACACTTGAGACCCAAGGGGAAAGGATCTATCGTAGCTGATTAATCAATCTCCACCCATCTCTTGAAACCAGATTTTCATAGATGCCACCAAAGTCCAAGTTTATACTATCAGAAAAATTGCAAAAGATTCTAAGATGCTCTACCTGTGTCTAGACCCACCCTGTTCTCATCTTTTTATACACCACAGAACAATTACTCTTCTTTAATCACTCTTTGTATCAAGTCCCTTCCTTGCTCAAGAGTGTTTATTAAATCTAGTTTCTTTGGAAGTCAAGGGTATCCATCAACTTACTCTTCTCCCTAATGAAAACTTCTTATATGTGTGTATTTCCCTGCTAAGACCCTTGAAAGACTAAACAGATTGACTTGCTCACATATGGTTTGCTCATTATTTCTTTTCTTTACCTGCTATATTCTAAGTCTACCCTTATCTCTATTAATCCTCTCTCCAAATTCTTTCAAATCCTCTTAAAAAATTCCTGTTTGATAACTTTACATAATGGCATTCTATAAACTTATTTACTCAGTTTATACCACAACATTTAGAACTGTTTATAGGAAACTTTGTGTGTGTGTGTGTGTGTGTATGTGCGTGTGTGTGTGTGTGTGTTAGATATTACTGTTTGACCATAGTCCCATGGTCAGGAACTCTGTGTCTTACACACAACTCATATAGACATGTATACATACCCTTAAAGCAGTGCTGTGTGTGATGGGTTTCTGATAAATGCTGGTGACCTCTTGATGATGAACTGAAGCTTAATTTTTTATACTTTGGAACCTTGAAATTCTTTGCTCAAACAAAATCTCACATAAGTTTTAGCTGAATTTGGAAGTCTTGAAGCTCTGCTCTCTTGACTAACCTTCTGATTTCTATTTTCATCATTGTATTGACCTGTAAATTTGAAAAATACTAAAATCTAAAAGAAAAAGAGGGAAAATGGGATACTCAGGTTTATTAAACTAATAACTAAATCATGATTGAAACTTAGTATCCTATGACTATCAATCTGATATATTCTCTTGAGTCATTGATGTTTCTCACTTGATCTGAATATGTGGCAGGAATTTGAGAACTGGCTCTTTAATAACAATGTGGGCAAGGTTGCCTAAGGTCTTTGGTCTAAACGTGGCATTTCCTTCTTCTCTTTTCCCCAGATGGACTTGGGCATTCCAGCAATGACCAAGTGCTGCAACCAGCTGGATGTCTGCTATGACACTTGTGGTGCCAACAAGTATCGCTGTGATGCAAAATTCCGATGGTGCCTCCACTCTATCTGCTCTGACCTTAAGCGGAGTCTGGGCTTCGTCTCCAATGTGGAAGGTAGGTATCTTAAAGGCATCTACTTGTGAGCAAGGAGTTTTGTTCCTGTTTTCACAAACAAATGTAGCCAGAGCTCCTTTACTCAAAGAGGCCATCAAAACTCACTGCACTTTATAGAACACTAAACAATGCAAGAAGGGCAAAAGGAAGATGCTGGACACTCCATTGCTAAAGTTCTTGCTGTCCTGCCCAGGAGCTGCTGGCACCACTCCTGATGGACGGAGCTACACCAAAGCCTTCCCAGAGGTATAAAAATTAATCCTTTAAGACTGGAGAAAGAGTTGCCCAGTTGGCTTTAGTTATCTATTACACTGTTAAATAATTTTCCATATAAGGAATTATTCTGTATAAGACCACTTGGTTTGGCTTATGCCCTTTTTTCTTATTTTGTTCTCAGTCAGGGAAAGAATTTGTAAAAACCTATCTTTTTTGTGTAAAGGTCTACATATACTTGACAATAATTACTTTTAAACAACTGCTCAGCTCTCCAATTTCTAGCACTGATTCTGTAATTTCTTTTTCCTAAATCATTTTAGGAAAAGTTTTAATCCTTCAGTTTCTGAATCCAGAACATTCCACCCAGGTGTTAGCATTATATATTTTTAGATGGTGATGTTTGAAAGTCAGGCTTATAAAGAGCTGACCCCATGCCACCGAGTAGGTCAGTAGAAAGAATCTAGGATTTTGGTTACAGATCAAGCCCTAGTTTATAGTCCTAAAGTGAATCCGTGAAAGCTTGAAAATATGAATAACTAATTAAGCCCTGTAAAGGGGAGTATCACTCTATCTGTACCTACAAAGGGTGAAAAACTACCTGTTGCTAATCTGGGGTCAGGTCAAGTTACTTCCTCCAAGCAATGTTCTATTCTCCTATATATCTTTCTCCTATATATCTCTTTGATAACTTGCCTGGTTACTGCAATTAACCCAATCTCTGGGTCTTATTCAATTTATTCTCTCCAAAGGGACGAGATATATTTTTATACCACACAGATTGGTCATCTTTCTCTTCCTTCGGATTAAATCTAAACTCCTTAGAATGACATACATATCCCTCTGGTTCATCCCTAGCCTGCCTCTCCAGCATCAACTTGATGATTTCTGATTTCTCTTCTGACTCCTGCCATTCCAAATTACTTGGGTTGGTTGCCTGTATCTTTTTGCCTCTTCATTTCCCTTTGCTTAGAACACTCTAATGATTTCTTTTGTTGTTATTGTTGAAACAGCTTTATCAATGATGAATAGCTGAAAGTTTTCTTCTAAATTCAGTACAAGGCAAGGATGCCCACTCTCATCGCTTTTATTCAACAAAGTATTGGAAGTCAGTTAGGTAAGAAAAAGAAATAAAAGTCATCCAAATAGGAATGGAAGACATAAAGCCGTCACTATCTGCAGATGACATATTACATTTAGAAAACCCTAAAGACTCCACCAATTAGAACTAATAAAAAATCATTGAAGTTGCAGGATACAAAATCAATATACAAAAATCTGTTGTGTTTCTATACTCTAATAATGAACTATCAGAAAGAAAAATTTTATTTTAAAAATCCCATTTACAAATTCATCAAAAAATAAAATACCTAGGAATAAATTTAACCAAGGAGATAAAGGACCTATACACTGAAAACTATAAGACATCGATGAAAGAAATTGAAAAAGACAAAAATAAATAGAAAGATAGTCCATGCTCATGGATTGGAAGAATTACTATGGTTAAAATTACCCAAAGTAACCTACAGAGTCAATGCAATCCCTATCAGAATTCCAATAGAAGGTGTTCTGAGATGCCTTCCATAATAGCCCTTACCCCAAAGGGATAGAGATCCTTACTATGGGCTCCCATACCACTTTGGGGTTGCTTCTATTATGGTGTAGTGTAACCATCTGTTTACCTTTCTATCCTGTCTGTCCCTTTGTCTAGACTGTGAGATCCTTGAGTTGGGATCTCTTTGATATCTGTATCACTGATGTCTAACAGAGGGGCTGACCAACATATCCAATGGGCACCCATGTTTTTTCAATGAATGAATGGTTGTTCATTCCACACTTGAACAGGGAAAGCTATAGGAAATAAAGTAGTGTTATCTGTGGGAGTAGTCTACAAAAATGGTTAATTTCTCATGGAGCGAACACAGTGGCATGGGAGATTCTGATTCCTAACCATGGTCTTGACCTGAAGGCCCATAAAAGGAAGACACTCCAAAGTGTATTCTAGTAGAGCTCTATTAGATTGGATAGAAGCTTCTCTGAAAAAGATTCTTTTAAATGTACGTCTTCTTTTTAATTCTGTATTTTGATTACTGCCTCAACTTTCCTCTGGGTATCGTGTCAATCATGGAAATATGTTGCCTCTTTAAAATTACTCATACTACTTGGGGTAATCCTATACATTAACCTTTATATTTCTCTATATCTTTTTCAAGTAGCTTGTGATTCTCTGGCTGATACTGTCTTCAATACTGTATGGACCTTGGGCTGCCGACCCTTTATGAATAGTCAACGGGCAGCCTGCATCTGTGTGGAAGAGGAGAAAGAAGAATTATGAGGAAGAGGTGATTCCTTTTGTGGTTTTGAGTGACATCACAGCTGTCGGTCTTGGAGATGGTAGTGTGACAGATGTATCTCATCCTTTTTTCCAAAAGTTTGGGTACCACAAAGCAGGAGAAGAGAAATATTCTACAGCTGAAAAGTGAGTCCCATCCTTTGAGGAGAATTGGAAAAAAGATATGGAGTGATTTGAAGCCTACTCCTCACTTTAACACTGGCCTCCCCAACCAATACAACTTGCCTGGAAATTCAGTTCTTAGCTTAAAGATGAAAATTAAGACTAAAATACTGAGATTCCTGGACTTGATAATTATATTAATAAGTGAAATTTTGGAGAGTCCAACCATTTGGGAGACAATGACTTTCCTCTGGTCCATGTTTCAGTCACCAGTAAGCATCTCACATTTAATAAAGTGTACTTTTTAGAAAATTTGAAATGAGATGAATGAATTCCATTATCGCCATTATGCTTCCATTGTCATTTAGAAGAGATCAGAACCCAACCTGGTAAGTTCCAGCAATAATAACAGTTATTCCCACTGGTGCCAAAAAGAACAAGTGGTCAGAGGCTTACCTCATTAAAGCCAATGGAGGTGGAGGTCAGACGGAGTTCGGTCTCTAAGGTTCTATTTTTTCCTTCTGTGAACTATTCCTGTTGATATTCCCAACTACTAGGTAGTCTTTGTGTCATGTTAAGATATGAGAAGTACTTGGTAAAAACTGCCACTGAAGATAGCTAGGAAAAGTCCCTGAAATCTGAAGGGAGTGAGAGACAAATGGTCATTCCCTAAATAGTGGTTACCAACTCTGACAGTGGATTAGAATCACCTGAGGAGTAATACAAAACAAAGAATCTCTGTGTGAGGTATCTACGTATGGGAATACCTCCTTTCATTGTGCTTAGCTTTGTTACACTTCACAGACATTGCATATTTTACAAATTGAGGGCAAGATCTTTCACCAGCAAAACGATTACAGCTCGCTTTATTGTGATACTCACTTTATTGTGGTGTTCTGGAACCAAACCAGAAATATCTGAGGTATTGGCATTTTATAAACTCTCCTCAAGTGGTTCTGATGCCCTGTGAGGGCCACTAAGTTCAGGGACTGGCAAATGAAGGCCCTTGGGCCAAATCAGATCCAACGTCTGTTTTTGTAAAGTTTTATTGGAACACAGCCATGCACACAGATGTTTATGGCTGCTCCTGTGCTACAACAACAGAGTTCAATACTTGTGACAAAGACTGTATTGGGCCAGAAAGCCTAAAATGTTTACCATTTGGCCCTTTACAGAAGAAGCTGGCCAACCCCTGATCTAGATCATTTTCTCCCTTCCCTTCCTTTTGTTAATTTTACTGGTTCCATTAAGAATTGTTGATTGTAGCCATTTCTAAAAGAAAAAGAAAACTGTTTTTTGATCTTATGCAAAGCCATAAAATTAATTGGCATATTAAAAAACTGGATTTAACTACATGTAAAATTTATCTCTGTGGTTTATGATATTTATTTCAATAAAATTTATTAAATACAAAACAGTATGGTATATTTTTATACCCTTTTCTCTTGTCTTATCAGTTTGAGGGCATAGAATGCCAAATAATGGCATATGATACCAAATTTTAATTTTGTCTACAGTTCAGTCATTGAGCCATTTAAACCCATGTTTATAAATTTATTAACATTTATTAATTGAAAATATTTCACTTAAGACAATATAAAAACATCAAAAATATTGTGCGAGGGAAAAATCAAGTAGTACTTTTAAGTGCACATTTATATTGATAAACTTCCAAATCCCCTATAACTATTCTGTATTTGAATTAAAATTTCATGATATAATTATTATTTACATATTTAAGGAGTCATTGGGTATTTAAATCATAGTTTCAAGCAACTATTTAATTTTTTTAAGTTCCTAATTTGAAATATTATATCCAATTTCTCATTTTAGTGGTTCTACTGCATTCTACACTAGGTATTTTATTGTAGGAAAGAAATAGGGGAAATGGATGAGCCGCTTTCTTCATGGACAGCATAGCTTTCAACCTTTGGAGGATGAAGCCCCAGCTGAGTCAAGTCAGTAAGCAGTGAGCTGACCTCTCTTGACCCAGTGGGCCAGAATTACAGTGAGTCAGTTCTGGGAGTTTGTCTAAACCCACAGCATGAGATTTAAAGAAGAGCAATGTTCTAGGGTGTTGACTGATGTTCTCAGAGGGAGTGGGAAGAAGCTGCAAATAGACAGGCAGCCCAAAGCCAAGACTCGGGTGTTGGATGTCCTAGTCCTCCCAATCAATGCTGATGGGGCCCCCGGTCAGCATCTGGCTCTGCAGACCAGCCGCGTCCTCTCCTTCTAGTGCCTCCCGACGCATTCGCTGGTGGCAGCCCTGTGCACAGCGGGAACGCTCCTCCAGCATTCCACAGACAAGGACTCGGCAGTGCAGAAACACTTCCTGAAAAGACCATAATTATAATTAACAAAAACAGTGATAACAGCCATCACTCGTGGGGCATTTTCTAGAAGACAGACACACTATACTAAATGTTTCATATGTATTATCTCATTTCATCTAAAAAACAACCCTTTGAGGTAGGTGTTAACATCTTCATTTTACAGATGTGGAAGCAGAGAAAGGTTAAGATACATGCCCAAGTCACATGTCTAGTAATGTGGCAAACACACTGAGTCCCATGGGTGATTTAAAACCCATATCCATAACTCCTGTGTTTGTGCAGAGCCATGAGAGACCTTTGTGAAGGCCACATCTAATAATGTTAACATCTTCATCCCTCACATCGAGATCTGGGAATAATATTGACTCTCAGGTGTTTCTGTATAAAACAAGTTCTTTCTCCAAGTTTCCTCCTATAAGTAACTTCCCAAAGTATGCTGCCTAGTTGAGGAGGGAGACCAGGATTAGCCGCCATGGTTGGCAGTGGTTCTGGAACAGTGATGAAGCTGAGCTGGAAAGGACATCAATACACTTAAATGCAGTGTGGAAAAGACTGTTGGTCTCTTAAACTTCCTTCTGTTGAAATGTTTCAACAACTCTATTGAAACGATAAACAAAAAACTTCCACCTTAACATACTCTATATAGCCTCTTATAACCTCTGTTCATGTATGTATTTTTAATGTAGTATATTCAATATGCATGTAAATTGCTATGACAAAAGTTTTTTCCTATCTCCTTTTTCTATATTTCTATATTTCTATACCATTTTAATAATTACTTAATACCACACTAATTACTATATTGCAGCCCTGTCTGTTTGGGGGCTTTTTTTTCACTCCCCTAATAATAATGCTCTATAAACACATCCAATGAATCTTGTTTTTCTTTTTTTGCTTGTTTGTTTTTGAAAAACTGTCTGAATTAGAATTTTTAGACAAAAGAATATGATTTTATGATTATTATATAGTATTAGGCAACATTCCAGAAAGTGTACCAATTTATATTGCCACTGTATACTTATAATTTTGCAAGCGTTCTGATTTATAATTTTTGTAAATTTAAAACATATAAAATAGTCTTATAATTGTTTTAATTGGCATTTTAAGTACTATTTTCACCGAACATTTTACTATTTGTCCTTTCCGTGAAATTTCTGTCCATGTTCTTTGCCATGTGACTACCATGCAGGCTTTTTCAACTATACTTGCCCACAGGATTTAAAATTGTGATCATATAGTATTTTTTTTGAACAAGCAGAGTTATTTTATTGGGAGGGGGCAGATAATTATGACATTCACGAAGGTGTTAAGCTTCTAGATGGCTAGTTTTACAATATTTTTCATAGAGGTAATACAGATCTTAACCGTGGGCTTGTAGAATGTCAACAAATTAGGACACTAAAAAGGAAGGCTCAGGTCAGGGGGGTTACGAGGTAAAGGTGTTCAGCTTACTTTATGGTCTTTGCCTACAAACTTGAAGACAGGGACCTGGAAGTGCTTTGCTAGGTGATCCCGCGATGTGTACTGCTTTACTGAGTCATCTGAAACACAGCTGAAAGGACAGGACGGCACATAAGTCTTGATTGTTTAAACAGAGGTGGAAAAACAATCTAGGCCAATACGTTTGGTCCAAGGAGAGGCAAACTGGGTGGAGGAGGCTGGGCTGCACTCAAGTTTTTTAAGGATGAAGAAAAAATGAAATTCCCTTCCTGTGAAGGCATTTTCAGACACAGGCCTTCTCATTAACACTCTCTGCCCATCTATCACTCACTGTGCCCACAAACTGGGCACAAGGACCTCCTGTTAAGTCAATATATTGAAGTATTAGCAATAGCAACAACATTTATTTCAAAGATATCTTTTGAAATAAAGGTATGTTTGTAAGGCTGTATTTTCATTTGTAACATATTGTAACATATTGAAGGCTTTTTTAAAACTAGGTTTCATAAATATTATGAACACCTAAAGTCTCACCCATGAAGGGGATTCAAGGTTGAGCAAACCCCAATTTGTGCATCAAAGAGCTGCATAAAGATCCCAATTTCTTAGATACTATTGGAGGAAGTCATGCACCTCCAAATTGTTTTAATTCCTCTTTTCCCAAATTTAATGCTAAATTATAGTTTGATAGGTTTTTGGGTTTTATTCTCAGGTCTACTGCTTAAAGTTAACTCTGAGGCTCATCTCAGGGTTAGCTGGAGAAAAAGAAATGTTATGAATTCTCCAGTTCAGGCCAAAGGTTAGTAGTATTGATGAAACTTTCCTCCCTAAAGATCAAAGGCCAAGGATCACACTTGTATTATCTTTTCTATTCTGAATTCTAAATGAACTTTTCCCCCTAAGAATATTTTCCTTTCTATGGATACCTAATAGTTCCTGTCTAACGGGCCAGGAAAAAAGTAGGGATCAGCTACAAAAGTCTGTGAAACTGGGCTCCATGAGCTTACAGGCCACTTTCTAGTTCATTGCTAATTGTTTCAGTACAGTTGAAAAATCCAATAAAATTATTTAAAAATAAGGCATCTTCACTTGTATTACTACTGGTATTCTCTGAACTGAAGAGGATCTAAACATATAATATGCTTTCTTTGTTTCTTGTATTTATGTATTCATTGTCATTTTCCTGAGGTAAAATTAATTTCTATCTTCTGATTATGTTCTATAATAAATCCTATTGCACTTCTAATCTGTGCACCACACTCTGCTGGGTGCTGCAGAGGATATAAAGATGAATGATATGGTCTACGAAATCAAGGAGTTTATAGTCTAATATTTATAATAATAATAATAGTTACACAACATTAAAATGGCACTTTCATCTGTTTCGGCATTTTCAACTTATCTTTATCTAAAAATGCTAGGGGGTGGGAATTGGGAATAAAAGATAAATAAAATAAAATAACTGAGATGTGCTCACAGTGTATATAACACACTGGATTTCAAAGACTTAGTTAGCAAAAAAGAGAATGTAAAATATCTCAATAATTTTTTTATTGATTAGCTGTTGAAATAATATTTTGGAGAAAATGGGTTAAATATATAAAATATACTATTAAATTTAAAAAATAAATTGAAATACTACTATAGTTGTTTATAAGAGAAAATGAAGCAGAAAGAGTTGTTCCTGAGTACCACATTACAGAATAGAACCCAGGGCAAATTCTGGCTCTTGGTTTGGTGTTTGTTGTGATTAGATAATGCTAGTTCTGTCAGCTTCAAGTTCATGTGCTAAAAGAAAAGAATGATGATATATGATAATCCAAAGAATTTGGTTATCTAAAAGTTGTCCAATATTCGGTTTAGGAATTCAATAAATTTCTTTTTTTGGAGACTAACTTTCTAATTCTACTTTGCTTAGGCTCATATTAAATTATTTGCATTCTCAGAGCATACGCCAACTAAAACTAGAGGGAGGTGAATCAGATGTGCTAAATATCAGGAGGAATCCGGCCTGATTTAAATTTAAGCCAAGGACAAAGAATCATCAAACCATTTATAAATATAAGTAAACGACATTATGTTTACTTTAGGGCTCTAGACTATTATGATAAATAATCATTCAATAATTCATTAGGCAACTATTCAATGACCCTTACCATAGGCTAGGCATTGAGGAGGATGGGAAAGGTAGGACGGTTTCTAGTTCAGGCTGGAAGAAATCAGGGAAGGCTTCACAGAGAAAATAAACCTGCTGAATCTTGAAGGACCAGTAAGAATTAGGGAAAAAGGGGAAGAAGAGGTGTAGAGTCAGGAGGGTGTAAGGAACAATAGAGTTTGGGAATTGCCTCTAGTGCCCTTTGGCATGAACAGAAATTCGAGAAAGTAGAGGTCAGCGGGTGAGGCACAGTGAGCCAAGCTGAGAGCTGGGTTTTATCTTGAGGGATTATCTCATATGCCTCATTATTGTACTACCCATTATTGTACTGGAGATGGGACTATTTGCCTGTTTACTAAATAGGCCTACACAGCGGTGTTTTTTATTGTTCTTACCTCTGCTTTTTAAGCATTTTAATTTCTTCCACAGCTTCCCCCTTCTCCACCCCCGTTTTGTATGTGATGGAAAATTAAATAGCATAGCTTCTTAGAACTGTCTAAAATAAAGTATATAGTCCTTAATGGAGAGTCTGAATAACAGATATATAAATAAACATCACAAGCTTTATTGAGATTCAAGGTTACGTGTTTTCTCAGTAACTGAGTTACGATTATACATTTATTTTTGCAAAAATAAATACGAGGGGCAGAGAAAACTCTTGGTGTGAAGGAAATGTTCACTATTTTGATTATAGTGATGATGGCTTCACAAGTGTAGATATCAGAACTTACAAAACTGTACATTTTAAATATGTATATTTATCGTATGCCAATAGTATTTCAATAAAGCTGTAAAAAATTTAAAAGGAAACAAAACCCACTCTCTCCTAAAAGATAAATCCATTCCATAATCTACTTAGCATTAAGTATGTGATTGAAAATAAGAAATAAAAAATGATACTTAACACTTTTCATTTAAAAAGTTTCTGGAGATTACTTTAAGATGTCAAGAAATCCAAAGGGCTATAGATCCCTGTGAGACCTATTACTGGCCACCCAAAGCAGCTCGCAATGACACATTTTTCATATTCTGAAAACATGCTAAGGAGACTATCAGAATCTAAGGCTAGAAGTACTCCTGCTGGTAAACAGTTAAATTCACAAACCAAAGGAAATCAAGACTCATTAAAAAGTTTTCAGCAGGGATGTGACAATATATACATAATTTTTTCTTTGACCAGATACCCAGCTACTCTGTGGAGCTGCGTTTTGCAAGTTGAGATTTAGGAGCAGTATTAGGAAGCTGTTCTAGCAGCCCAAGTAAAAGATAATGAGGGCTGGAATTAAGTCAGTAAGAGTGGGATAAAGAAAATGGGGTATTGCTATTTTTAAAAAAAGCTTCCCAGTCAATTCTAATGTGCATTATGGATTGAAAACCACTGTGCAGCAGGTGAAGCTTGCCTGTGATGAGAGACCTGGAGAAGTAAAAGCAAAGTAGAAATTTCAAAAAAAGGGTCTATCAGGCCAATTAGCGAAGGGCATGAACCAGAGGCAGCCTTGTGGCACTCTTACTAGGCCATTTCTCTTCTCTTAAGCTGCAGATCCTGACCCTATGTGAGATATGTACCACCTGACATTGAGAACAAGGAAGAAACTGATGAGATAACTGCCATGAGTTTGGGGTTTGAGTGTGACTGTCCTGGGAATATAAGCAATGAGTGTGACGACTGCTGGGCTTCCAATGACACCTTGAGACACACAAGCTTCTCAATCCAAGGAGACTTAGAAACATGGAAATCTCCTTTGTATAAAACAAGCAAACAAAAACAAATTTGCTTGATCCTTCTGCTCCTAAAATCTACCAAGTATTTCTTCTCTCTCCTTCACTATCGAACTTCTTAAAAAAGGAGTCTGCATTTGCTTCCACTTTCTCATCCCCTTGGCCTCCTGAGCGCCCATCTGGCATCATGCTCTACCCTCTCTGAGCAGGTTAATCAATCTTGTAGTTTTGACTACAAACGGGTGATTCTCTGTCTTTTATCTCTAGTCCTGACCTCACCCCTGGGTCTAACTGATATGCATTTC